ACCCTTCTCAAACAAAGAAAGACACTGCGAATCAAACCATACACCACTCGTATACAGACACTCGTGCATTTTTATGAATGACAAGTCATGGACAAGTATCATTAGTGAATAATAAGTATTATGATACGAACAATATCGGTAACGTGTACGTTATTCTTCGATCTCCCGAATTAATTTAATCAATCATTTATTTCATTCTAAGTATTTAATTTTATGTTTTTTATTCACTATGTTTAATTTTATTTCAGATTTCGGTTATGAAGTATCAGAAACTGGGAAGTACAACTTTATCCTTCTTCATCCTTCGCTCTTTTATTTTAATCCACTGAGAGTTTAGTAAATTTCTTTATCTCATTATTTTGTTATATATTTTGTATGTTAATTGAATAATTATATATAGATGATTAATTCTATCTATATAAATTTCTAATTAATATATAACAGATGCAATATTATGGGGATCTTAATGGGTTTGTCACTGTACCAAAATTTCCAATTTTCATGGATGATCAGTAGTTCAAATATCAAGCAATACATTCAACGCCATTTAGAAAACAAAGAAAACCTTTAAGAAACCAAAGAAGAAGAATAAAAGAAGAATTAAATTTTAAGAAGTTAATATTGAACTAAAGCTTCCAGATGATAATAATTCACGAATGAAGCAATACATTCACCTCCATTTCTCCTATTCCCAAATTGAAATATCTTGCAAACATCCTACGATAAGATATTCTCCCTAAAGAAAATCAAACCAGATCAAAAAAAAAAAAAAAAAAGAAAAAAAGAAAAGAAAAGAATAAGAAAGAACGGAAATGAAGATCGGCCAATTAAATGGTCAAATCAACCTTATAAGCGGAAGCCATAAACAACGGATACCATGTGATTTTTTCCATCGCCAATTCCAGTGAATTCCTCGTACCACCCATATAATTTTACGAATAATTTAAATCGGCGGTGCGCGAAACGGGAATCAAGTAGCTGATTCACCGATGAAAGGTACGTGTATGGTGGTAAAACGACGTTTGGCGCGTATTTGATATCTCCGTAGATCGATAACGTCCGAAAACTGGGGTCTGTGGTCCCGATCGCTGATTATGCCGTAACATCACAGGTAATTAAGTCCGAAAATAAGCGGAGCCTGAAAAAAAGGGGCGCGGTTCCATGCAACGCGCGCGTAATTCGCGTTGCTCGCGTCTCGCCCCGGCATTGCTCCACCTGTCAATAATCGAACAGTGTCATTAATTACGGACCAATTATAATTCGGTAGACGGCGACGAGAACCATGTCCGCGATGTTATCTGGGAACCGCCGCTCGTTAACACATCCGTCGTCGCTTCGAGGAATCGTGTTAAATCGATTAATCCCCGACCAACACGCACGGTCGTTATGATAAGAGCAACTTGGATCCACGGACTCCACGTGTGGTGTGTGGTACGAGTGTGTAAGTATAGATCTGTACGTGCGATAACACTGCACCGGCAATAAAAGTGCAAGGCTACTCGTCGATGGGCCGGATTGAAGTACGCGATGATTGGTAACTCGTAATTGGACCGGACCATCCACTGAGGTCTGACATATGCGAACCATCTTTTGCTTTTGCGAATACATTACCGGGATAAGATACCTCCGGATTATTATGGGAATTTTTCGATGAGAGGATTTTAATCGCGGGGATTGGGGATGATTTGCGACGAAGATACGATTGGTTTTGCCCGTGAATTTCAGCTTCGGAATTATTGAATAGCTACTTGATTTCCTTTCTTTCCTTTCCTTTTTTGGGGTCATTATTTAAATAGTTTTTAAGGTTTTTTTCCTTGTTGATTTTTTCTGAAATACACTACCGGCTATGAGTATTAGGACACTTGATATTTAGTACAGATTGAATGCTTTTTACTACTTTTATTTTCTAGTTATTTTATTATGAATTTATTACATTGCGTATTACATGTATTTTATAATGTAGAATATTAAATGAAGTAAAATTTACTTGAACTTTTCAATAAGTGTAACGAGTAAGTGTCTTAATATTTATGATCGACGGTATATGTGTTTGGTTGGAGAATGGCTTCCTCGATTTTTAAAGGAAATTTGTATTTCTATTTCTATAGATAATTAATCGGCAAGTTTTAAAGGACTTTTTATTTGTTTGTTTCGAAAATGTAGGTTTCACAGTTTTTGAAGAAATTTTCCTCCTAATTCCGTTTCAACCTTTTACGCTTCACTAGCGCTGTTTGAATGGTATTGATGATGTGTAAATTGTTATTTGATTTTATCTTTACCGATATAAAAAGAAAGCTATTGCGTTTGTGTATAAATAAATGCATGATCCTGTTTTTTTTTTAATTAAACTTTTAAGCACAAAAAACATGCTGACCGATTGTATATAGCATTTGAAACAAAGAATTTTCTCTTCTCTGTTTTTAATGTCTATAATATTGTGATTAAAAAGAGACATAAATATAGTTTGCTTAGAATGTCGAGGTAATATTCGAAAACTCCATCAACTGTTTTATTGAAGAAACCGGAAATTTCTTCGATCGATTACTTGAAATCTTCAAATTGTATCAATCGCAAGCAAACATTTGCAATGAATCAAAAGATAGTTACATCACAAGGTGGCCCAGTTTCATGCTTATTAACATCATCGTTTCTCTTCCAATACTAATGAACCAGACCATTGAACATCTCGTCTTTTATGGCACATATTATTCGTATCTGAAACGATAAAATTGCAAGAGACTTATGCAGCTTTCACTGCCACATTTATGCCATATGGTGCCCTGACATTTTAAAATATGTTCCTTGATAATTGTACGTACGTATGCCAATGCTTTCTTAAAGTTCCAGCTCCTTTATTTTTTATGTATTTCTGACGTAATTAAATAAATCCAAATATTTCTACTTTTCTTTCAGGAAATTTTTCATAACCTACACTGCGGGATGGTATAAATAGATAAAACCCTATTCTCAGTCCAGGGATTACATGGGTATACCGTGATAATATTCGACACAACAGAGTATACGGTTTAATAAATCTGAATTTTCATATCTTTCTTTCAGTAAATTTGCTATATATTTTTATTCCGTCTGTTCCTAAATGTTTATATTAATTTTTTAATTTACATTGAAAATTTTGTATGATTTATTCCATACTCTATTCAAAACTCAAAGGTTGCATAAATACCATAACAATATTTGACAGAGTACTCGTATAGCATTTTTTTACCAAGTTTTCCTTTACTTTCAAATTTTTCTTTTCAATTCACTTTATACTCCATGCAAAGGCCGAGAATTGTACATATATCATACTCGATACATAAAACTATCTAGAGTAATAAATTCGAATCTTCTTATTTTCCTTTCAATATATTTCCCACCCATATTCATGGACGACATAGATAGAGACAGTTCGGTTCAAAGGCTAAAGGTTACATAGGTATACGGTGACAATACGCTACAAACACAAGGACCTTAAAACTAGCTTGAAATCGATAAACGTGTAGCAGTGTGCTTAAACAGACTACCATTGGTACGCCTGCGCCTAACGAGAGGTGCGAGAAAAAAGAGGAAACACACGAAAGAAGCACGGTATACTAATTCATTTAGCAAGGAACGTGTTCAGTCATTATTCCAGTTCATACGACGATGATTATGCGGTTACTCGATCAAGGTGTTAAATAACGCTAAAAACAAGAAAGACTAGCGATAAATGGCTACTGGTGCTTCGACTTTGTACTCCATTAGAGCCATCCCTCGTGTCTCCTATGTAAACTGAACACGGCAGTCTCGAAAAGTAGTGCTAATGACGAGTAAACGAAAACTGAGTCGAGAAACAAGAAGGTTCAAGCATTTCGCTCACTGCTTCCAGTGTAATCTATTATCTACTCCTCAATGGATTTCGAGAAGCACGAATCGGAATCCGTTTATTAAGCTTAATTAATTAAAAGGGATATTAGAATTCAGAGTTGTTGACTTCTCTGGAATTTTGGTAGTTTCAGTTCGTCTCTCGAGAAGATTGAGAAAATAGACTTCTTGTTAAGGTAGTTAGAAGTTTCTAATTGATAGAAAGTTATAGCAGCTTCTTTTTATTTCTTGGTATTGCGTTCCGTCTTCTATTTCATTTCATTTTGAATCTAATTCAAGTTCTTATTTTTAATGTAATATTCGAGATTCCAAAAATCTACAGGATCAATATAATACTCGAAAATGTATAAAATATTTTACATAAAGCATTTATCATAATATTTAATAGAAGAAACAAATTTCTATTTAGATTCCATCTTTCTTTCAATATAAAATTGCATAAACAGTCACTATCTAATTATCAGAATATTAATTCAGGTTGAATTTTTTTTCCGAGTTAATAATTTTCCGCATTCTTCTTTACATTTTCCATAATTTAAATTTGTTAAGACAATAACCAGGATCCTAGAATATATTTGAACACTCTAGATAACCACAATGATCTACACCGCCGGACTATTTTGCTCTATTTTGCATTTTACATTACAAGATACCTACGATGTGAACGAAATAACAGATTTATCAATTAAAAAATAAAAGCTATTCAATTTGTGCCAAACGCTATTAGATATGCTAAT